GTTGATTATTTGCCTGCCGCATTAACGGGAGAGGACGTGCAAACGTTACCGCTGCTGCTGGGTTGAGATTCACGAGTCCGGAGCGGAATTAAAAACACGACATTCATTTAAGGTCATCGCGTGTTTTGTAAGCAAATGCTTTTGCTTACTATATAATATATTATTATATAGTGTTAATAGTGTGATAACACTATTAACACTATATAATAATATAGTGTTAATAGTGTTATCACACTATTAACACTATATTATTATATAGTGTTACCCAGTTTTTATTCATCTTTAGTGACATATGTAAGCTGTTTAATTGTACACAGGGCCAAAAGCTGAAGGAGAAACTAACACCTGTACTGAATCTACTGACTGAGAGTTCTCGGGTACACAGGGAGACGCGTCACTACATACGGCAAAAGGTAAAAAAAAAAGAAAAAAAAAAGTACAAAATGGAAACTGTATCAGCAATTTTTTATCTAACCTCAACATTTGGAATAGATCCTACCTCCACTGAGGGATGTTGCCATCAGACCTGAGCAGGACAGCTCCCTCAGAGGCCAGCTGGTCCGCCTAATGACCCACGTTGACACAGATGTGAAGGATTGTGCTGCTGAACTGCTGTTTGTGCTCTGCAAAGAAAATGGTATAGTTGCAGTTTGCAAGACTAACTGTAGTGATGGGAAAAGTCAAGTTTTCAAAGGACTCTATACAGTCAGGTGCGAGTTAACACAGTGCCAAGAAGAACAAACATCAGCAGTAATCTTAGAGCAGATTATTATTATTATTATTTATTGTACAATCTACTGTACAATATAAAGCGCCTTGAGGCGACTGTTGTTGTGATTTGGCGCTATATAAATAAAATTGAATTGAATTGAATTATTCTTCCCAAGAGCTGACATTCTATCCAATTTACCCCAAGGTCAGACAAGCTTTGAGAAATTCCAGAAAAACCGAGGAGCTACATCTCAGATCTTACAGGCCTCAGTTAACATGTTAAATGTTAAAATTAGCAGTACAATAACAGCAGACAATACTATTAGATGTAAGCAGTTATGTATGGAATGATTGGCAGGTGAAAGTGTCTTCTCTGGAAAAAAAAAGAGCCCCTGGTATTTCTCCAGCTTCTTGTGTTTCTTCTTCCTGATATTGCTGTCATTCTGAACCGCTACATCCAAAGTCAAAGTCAAAGTCAACTTTATTGTCAATTCTGCCACATGTACAGGACATACAGAGAATAGAAACTTCGTTACTCTCAATCCCTAGATAAAATAGAAAATGAACATTTAAATATAAGAGTGATTAAAAATGCAAGTAAAATATTTTAAAGTAAAAAAAAAGTTAAATAATATAATACAATTTTACATATAACATCCGTCCATCACTACGGCCATTTTCTTCTGTCTTCCACCACTATGTCCGGTTGGTTAGCCATCACCATTTTTTTCTGTCTGTTTCTGGAAGTCCAACAGGATCTTAGCTCGACCATTCTCCACCACCCTTTTGTCCTCAGGACTTCCAGGCCATATTCGGCACAGATGTTTCTGTATACTATGCCGGCCACTTGGTTATGGCGTTCCATGTATGCCCTGCCTGCTAGCTTCTTGCACCCTGCTGTTATGTGCTGGATTGTCTGACGGGCAAACTCAGAGACGTGGCAAGAATGAACTCAGAACTAACTCGTTAAACTTAAATCATCCTAATAATATCAAAACACTCGGAAAAGTACAAAATTAAATAAATAACTAAATAAAGTTGAAATGCGGGGATTCATGTGTGGGCCATTGAGTCATAGGCTGTCTTGTAGTCGGTCCAGGCAGTGCACATTTCAGTCTGGTACTGCAGTCTAGGACGACTGCTCGGTCTACCAGCAGCTCATGTTTGGCCCCTCTGGTGTTTCTGCCTATCCCTTTCTATGCCACGCTTATGTATTGAGAGCCATGTGCCTGTTCATCTTAGCCTCTATGGTGCCCGACAGGAGCTTCCATGTGGTACTGAGGCAGGCTATTGGTATTTGGTCCCTTCTGGTCGCTTCTGGAGGTCCTTGGGTAACAGAACTGTGGCCTTCAGTTAGCCATTCTGGGTGTCTCATCCATTAGCAGCTGGGTCATTTGTGCTGCCAGATGCTCATGGAGTACCTGAACATCTGGGGCCTGGTTATATCTAACTCTTTTTACTGGAGACCTGTTCTTGGATGCCTATCACTGTGATATATATATATTTTCTTTCTTTAATTCCTGTCTCGCCCCTGCGGGCAGTCTATCCTTCAAGCTTGTGTCCTCTACCAGAAGCCTGGGAGGCCGAGGGTCCTGTGCAGTAGGTTAGCTGTTCCTAGGACTGCGCTCTTCTGGACAGAGATCTCCAAACTTGTTCCTGGGATCTGCTGGATCCGCTCACCTAGCTCCAAGTGCTCCGATTACCACTGGGACCACTGTTACCTTCACCCTCCACATCTTCTTGAGGTCTTCTCTAAGACCTTGGTGCTCCTCTTAAGTACAGGGTGGGCCATTTTCCTCGAGATGGGTGGTGACCATGGTGGCCATTTAGAAGTCATCCATCTTGGATACAACTTTTGTTTTTTCAATAGGATGAGGGCCATGTGTCACAAGAAAAACAATGGTGTGCTTGGTTTCAACGTAACTTTATTCTTTCATGAGTTATTTACAAGTTTCTGTTTGTTCACAGCCATTGACATGTCGAAGAGGTTAACACGTGAGGAACTTGAACGCGAAATTGTGTTGATATCTGGTGAATGCAGTAACCAGGTCATTGCAGCAGATTTCAATGCAAGACACCCTACGAGACCACCCATCTCCCATGCTACAGTCAGCAAACTGCTTGCTAAGTTTCGTGAAACTGGTTCAGTGTTGGATTTGCCAAAATGTGGACGCAAGAAAACTGTCACTAATGAAGAAACATCAGTGTCTGTCCTAGCTTCATTCAGCAAGAGCCCACAGCGTAGCACTCGCTGCATGTCACTGGAGAGTGGCATCAGTCAAACATCCCTTCGGCAGATATTAGCTACTCACAAATGGCACCCTTACAAACTCCAGCTACTGCAGCATCTCAGCGAGGATGACCCAGATTGGCGCACAGAGTTTGCAGAATGGGCAAAACAAAAATTGGAACAGGACCCTCAGTTCACGCAGAAGATTTTGTTCAGTGATGAGGCAAACTTTTATGTGAATGGTGAAGTTAACAAACAAAACCACCGCTATTGGTCTGACACTAACCCACATTGGATGGATCCCTCCAAGACTGTTGGAACAACAAAAGTGATGGTTTGGTGTGGTATATGGGGTACAACGATAGTGGGTCCATTCTTCATCAATGGAAACCTCAAGGCCACTGGATATTTGAAATTGCTACATGATGATGTGTTTCCCTCTTTATGCACTGAAGCTGGCACGTTCCCTGAGTTTTTCCAGCAAGATGGTGCACCACCACATTATGGGTGCCAGGTCCGAGCATTCCTAGATGAACAGTTTCCTGGAAAGTGGATTGGTCGTCGTGGGCCAGTTGAATCGCCCCCAAGGTCTCCCAATCTGACCCCCTTAGACTTTTATCTTTGGGGTCATCTGAAGGCAATTGTCTATGGTGTGAAGATACGAGATGTGCAGCACCTGAAACTACAGATACTGGATGCCTGTGCTGGCATTTCTCCTGCGGTGTTGCTATCAGTGTGTGAAGAGTGGGAGAAGAGGGTTGCATTGACAATCCAACACAATGGGCAGCACATTGAACACATTTTATAAGTGGTCAGAAACTTGTAAATAACTCATGAAAGAATAAAGTTACGTTGAAACCAAGCACACCATTGTTTTTCTTGTGACATTACCAATAAGTTTGATGTGTCACATGGTCCTCTTCCTATTGAAAAAACAAAAGTTGTATCCAAGATGGCCGACTTCTAAATGGCCACCATGGTCACCACCCATCTTGAGGAGTTTGCCCCCTCACATATACTAATGTGCCACAAACAGGACTTTAATATCAACAACCATTCCCATTTTATTACGGTGTATCCATATAAATGGTCCACCCTGTACTTTTGGTCTAATCCACCAACTTTCTCATGGAGCAAGCTCTTGCACCAGACTGAGGGTAATTGATGGTCTTTAATATTTCTCCCATTTCCATTTAATTGCACCAGCAGTTGTTACCTCCTCACCAAGCTTCTTGCTAATGGTCTTGTATCCGATTCCAGCCTTGTGCAGATCTATAATCTTGTCCCTGATATCCTGATCCAAACAAACAAACAAACAAACAAACAAACAAACAAACAAACCATGAAAACTGTAATAACTTTAATTTTTCAATCACTTCCACTCTTCTGTTAATACCTATTAACACCTATTAAAGCATACTGACGGGCAGGTTTAGGACTGAATATAAAGGAAGTAGCTCAAAGGGCAGCTTTATTGTTGGCACTCACAGGTAAAACCAATAGAAATACTAACAAGGCTGGAAAGGAGCCAGGAATGCAAACACAAACACACAAAACAAGGGAACACTTTAGAATTGAAAGTGAATTAAAAATAAATAAATAAATATGACAAAAGATAAAACACATTTCAGAAACTTACATGGAAACACTCACTGCACAGTAGGAAATTATTTCATATGGAAACACTTTCTTCTGTGTTCCCTTCACAGTCAGCCGATTTGTCAAATATACTGGATATGGCAATGCTGCAGGGCTGTTGGCAGCTCGGGGACTGCTTAATGGTAGAATGAGTTCTAGTAACAGCCAGTACTCCAGCGACTCAGACTCAGACACAGAAGAGTACCGAGAGGCCAAAGCCAAGATTAACCTGGTGACTGGCCGGGTAGAAGCAGACCAGCCTGATCCAATGGAGGGCATGACGGACGAAGAGAAAGAAGAGGAGGCACGTCACCTCATCAGTATGATCAACAGACTGTCACGGTGAGTGTGTTAATAATGCAGAACACACAGTATGGTTAAAGAGAAGCTTTCATTTATAATGATGTATATGCTGTTTCTTACTCAGTGAACAAATCATTCAGCCAATGGGTGTGACAGCAGAGGGCAGACTGGCTCCACTTTGGGGCCAAATGAGTGACTGCACGCTGGAAGAAGAGGAAGAGGAAGAATTGAATCTCATGCCAGAGGGGGGCAAAGACAGTCAGATGGAATAGGATGATGTAAACAAAGAGCGAGGCAGAGATGCTAACACACGTATATCCAGTGTTGGGAAGGTTACTTTTGAAATGTTCTCCACTACAGATTACAGGATACATGCCCCAAAATGTTGTTTGCAATGTATTCTATTAAGTTACTCAGTGTCAGTAATGTATTCTAAGTACTTTGGATTACATAATATTGTCATGCTTTTTACAACTACGTAAATATACTATTACTGAAGGCTACTCGCAAACGCGCTAACATTGCTAGCTGGCATTAGCTGGGGTTAGTTCATAGACTGCATTCAGAAGTGCACATTTGCAGCTAGCAGGTTGTTAATGCTATCCAGCAAGTCTAACTGTCTATGAACTAACCTCAGCTAACGCCAGCTAACAATGTTAGCTTGGTGACGAGTAGCCTTCAGTAATAGTAGTAAATCACACATAATCCAGGTAGCTACCAGAACTAAAACAAGCTAGCTGCAGTAGGCTAATGTTAGTTTTTTTTAAAAAAACAACTTACTTCCAGATAGGGTTGCCACAAACTCGACTAGTCACCGATTATTTTTGCGATTAGTCGACTAATCAGATCATCATCCATTGGACGTAAAACGTACAGCTTATTGCACCAGCAGCATCTGCTCTTATATAACTATCATTAGCTTACAGCTTTAAGTGTTTAAGGTATGTGCAAACTAAAAATAAAGACAAGATGATAGTTTATTAAATTTTA